GAGATCCGCTCGTACAGCAGCAGCAGAAACCCTCGCTGTCTGAGAGAGGTGGTCATCGTCGTTCACCCCAGTGACAGCCAAACCGTGGATGTGAGTTTGTGACTCTGATAGGAGCTGTTTAAGTGCTTATCATGTTCTGACAGTGAGCACTAGAGACGAGCAAACCCACAACAAACAGATGGACACATAATGTGCAGGCAGACACTGATCAGTCACACCGTCACCTAGCTTAGCACACAAACTGGTGAAGCTGCTTGTGGCTACAGGTAGCAAAAACCACACTGAGTGGTGATACACACTGTTAGTACAGTGGTCCCTCGCTATAACGCGCTTCACCTTAAGCCGCCCGTGGATTTTTTTTGTGTGCAATTTTGCATGTTTCCTGTTTTTTTGTTTTTTGTTTTTTTTTTACAGCGCATTGTGTTCTGCATCCTCATCGGCTGTAGACCATTGTCGGTGTCTCCTGTGCAGTACAGAATGTGTTCGGCTTGTCAAATTTACAGCAGTGTGACTCTGAAGTGCTGTACTCTCAGTGTTGGGAAGGTTACTTTTAAAATGTATTCCACTGCAGATTACAGAATACATGCCGAACAATGTATTTTGTAACGTATTGTGTTACGTTACTCAGTGAGAGTAACGTATTCTGAATACCTTGGATTACTTAATATGGTATCACAACTACATGAATGTCCTATTGCTGTGTAATTTATTACTATTACTGCAGGTTACTCTCCACACCAACACCAGCTAGATGTTTAAACCTTAATATAAATGAGTAACAGTAGGTGGACATTAGGTAAGGCTGCACTTTTTGCAGTGATCTCGTATAGAAACTATTCGGCGCGTATATAAAACAGGTCCGCGGCTCCGAACCATAGTAAAGGACCTCTGGCTGATACGTCGGGTTCGTGTCGGCTCGTAGCTGAAAACTAGCTTTACTTTGTTCTCTGGGTCAACTTTGTTAGCGAGAGACAGAGAGAGGCGTTGAAAGGCTGCTGCAACAGGACTTATTGTTTCAGAGGAAACACGAACACGGTGTACAGTCGAGTCTTAACAGCTCGTCAGGCTCTCTGTTTGGCTGCAGTGGTTATTATTATATTTACATGCTTCCAGCTCCAGTTTCTGCTCAGTGACAGCTCGTACTTTCTTAAGTACACCATTAAGCAGTCAATGCTTTTTATTTCTTAGGTAATGACATTAGCAGAATCATGTTTTGTCAGCAGTGTCAAGCACACAAGCAGCTGATTTCATTAGAGCTGTATGAGAATATATTTGATGCTGCTTCAGGAGGAACAAACCTATGATGTAAACTTAGCAACAAAAGACAATAAAAACTGAAAAATCAAACACAACAAAGATTAAATCAGACTACATTA